CTAGTAGTGTAAACAAATGCTTAGGTCAGGGGTATCAAACTGCCGGCCCTTGGGCCAGTTGCATCATGCAAGTTTGACACCCGTGGCTTAGGTGGAATATTCTCAGTGACATCCTGGTTTCATGTTCTTTACCTTTTCTTGGGTCTGATTGTGATTCTGGAAGTTTCATTAAAAAGTACAGAACTAGTCCTCCATCTATTTCATCAACAGACATGCAGAGGTATCTTGTTATCTGTGCTCATTTCTCTAGTATCCTTGTTCTCACAGTATTTCAGTTTACCAGTTTTGTGTTCAACACATAGGAGAGCAAACATGGTAAGACTGCAAATTTCAGATAACTCTAAGATAGATGCAACTCTGGATTCTTGCAATACCGATTTGGGTAAGTTAGCTTACTATTATTATATTACTTTAGAATGGACCCATTTTTCTATCAATAGAAACAGAAAAATAAGAAAAAGAAAAAAGAAAAATATACTCTATGAGGAGAGTCATTCTTTCCTGCATCCAAGAATTAATTTCAATAGTTGACTTATTTTCTTTATCATAATAAATTGTAAACTATTTTTGGCAATTTTAAGGATTCTGATTTATTGCATGTCATTATTTTGGATGGAAAGTCAAGCAGTGTCGGCTGGCGACCCCCAGGGGGAGGGCCTTCTCTGTGGGTGCCCCCACCCTCTGGAACGAACTACCCCCCGAGATCCGGACGATTCCGGATCTCCTAACTTTCCGCCGTGCCCTCAAGACATGGCTTTTTCAGCAAGCGGGTCTGACCTAGGGTGAATTTTAAATAGGGACAATTTTAAGGATTTTATCANAAATTATGGATAGGGCAGACCCCGTGTCAAGTTCCATCGACAATGGAACTCCCTGCAATTTCACTTTAAGAGATAGTTTCTTTTTAAGGGGTTTGTGTGTGCCTATTCTTAAAATGTTCCGGCGTGTTGCACAGAACCCCACCCTGTTTTGACTGGGCACCCTGGTACCTTTCAGATTCAATTCTTCCTTCGGTTGTACTTTCTGTCGACCCAGGCAGACTGCAGCGATGTGGCCTTTTTTCCCGCACGCTCGGCAATGGCGGAACGGAACCGACATTCCGCTCGCTTGTGGCGTCCACCGCATCCGAGGCAACGAAGCTCAGCTGGGCCCTTGTCCTGACGATCTTTGGACCTCCTCCCAGCTGCTTGGTAAAGCTTGTCCACCTCTTCTTCAGGATCTTCTTCCGAATCCTCTCGCACGTCTTCCTTGTGGAGAGTGGCGGTCTCTGGAGCGCTTCGCTTAGGCCACATGTTCTTGACCGCCCCACCTGCAGCTTCTTCTGCTGAAACCTCTCACAGAGCATCTTGGAAAGAGACATCTTCCCTGGCGAACAGCCTCTGCTGTAAGTCTGTGTTCCTCAGTCCTCACACAAAACGATCACGCAGTCTTTCCTCTAAGTCCTTGAAATCACACGGTTTAGCTGCTCTTCTCAAGGCCGCAACGAATTCTTTTGCTGATTCCCCAGCTCGCTGATCCCTCTGTTGAAATGTGTGCCTCCAAGCCATGACAGATTGCTTGGGCTGGAAGTGTTCCTTTAAAACTTTCTTCAGATTGGAGTATGACACCGTTTCCAGCGAGTCTGGGGCGATTAGGCTCTCGGCGATCTCAAAGGCGTCTTGCCCACAAACGCACAACGTGGCAGCCTTTAAGCCTTCCTCCCTTATCTGGTTTATGCGGAAGTACGTCTCGACTCTTGCAACATAAGATTCCCACCTCTCGGGGTGAGAGGCGTCGAATTCCGCTAAACGCCCAACTTTCGCCATGATCGAGGATCAGGGTCTTCTTCAGCCGCACGCACCCTCCAGCGATTTCGTATTGGCAGGATAACGCTGACTTCCACGCCGTTTTCCTCTTCCGGACTTCTTTGGGTGAGTCTTCAAGCTTTCCTAGCTGTATAGACTGTATCCCACCTTAGTCGCCAGTGTTAAGTCCGGAGAATAATGGTGCTTGAGATGAAGCATTTCTAACAAGTCTTTATTCTCTGCTTCCAATCTACGAACAACCCGAGCAGAGGCACGCAGGCCTCTATTTATACCTTCTGATCCCCGGGCAAATCCAACCAATCAGAAGGTGGTCTTTTCCCGCCTTATGCATGCGCGCAAGGCCGGCGCCACTCAGTCTGGTCCCGGGCAGCTTTTGCAAATGCCTGGGACTCTTGCAACGTCCCGAGCCTGCTTTTGCAGGCTCAGGACACAACAATTATTATAAGTTAAGTTTTAAAATCCCAATGTGGGCTATTCCGGAACATGCAATACAAGGAATTACAAGGGGAGTTAAACTAAAGGGAACTGTGTATAAGGATCTACTTACTTTAAGGGGACAGGACTGGCAAATTAAATCATTGGATGAATTTAGACAAGATAATATTCTCCAGTCCTGGTTCCTATATAGCCAGTTGGTGGAGAGATGGCATATAGATCAAAAGTCAGGCTTGGCATTAGAAGATGTGAACTTGATAAGACAGATTAAAGATCAAAGTAGAGCTCATATTAGGAGAATATATAGTGTTTTGATAGAGCTCGATTCGGAAACAGAATTAGTTAAAGATTGTATGATTAAATGGGCTCATAATATTCAAAAGTCAATTATGTTAGAAACATGGGAAATAATTTGGGTAAGAAATGTCAAGTTCACTCAAGCACAGAATTTAAGGGAAAATTTTTATAAAATGTTTTATAGATGGCATTTGGACCCTCAAAAACTGTCTTGCATGTATCCGAACTTGCAGCCAAAATGTTGGAGATGTGGTAATTTGGATGCAACTTATT